AATGCCTGGCAGGGACACACAGTCCTGCTGGAGGAGCTGGCAGGGCAACGGGCTGGGTGTGGAAAGCCAGGGGAGCTGGGACTGGGCCAGGGATGACGCTGGGGGCTGTTCCCCTGTGCAGACATGCAGGCAAAGAAGCTGGTGCACACCCATCTGAAACCACTGCCCAGCCATGCAGAGGTGAGCAACCAGATGGGCGTCAGTGAGTGCACGGGTCTGGCAGCAGGCTGGCAGGCACTGTGGGGCATACAAAAGGGAAGGAGAGCACCCACAGCCTTGGGTGTCATGATCAGCAAGGGACCTAGACACTGTTCTCATCCACCACCACACGTGAGATGCATATGGGTGGCCAGAGGCATCCAGCATCCAGGCACCCGGACACACTCTTGGCTGCCAGACGCCAGGCTGGAGGGAAGCAGGTTCAAAATAACCAGCATGATGTGGCTTTCCAGTGCAGCAGTGGTGAGTGACCACTGTGCTGAGCACAGCCCTGGCCCTGGCAGGGCCCCAAGGGATGGAAGAAAACGGGAGCCCTGCAAAAGGGTGCTGGACTCCTCTTTCCCACAGGGAGGGAACAGTTCCAAGCAAAAGCAACCTTTGCTTGAAGTCTCACACGTAAATACAGCCACGACTTGGAGTGAATCATGCCCAGAGAAGCAGATAGTTAGGAATGCAATTGCTTAAGTATGTTCCCTGATCTCTTTGGATTGGGGCCATGGTGATTTTTATATTTGGCTCCACGAAGCTGGTGTAACCCTCCCCAGCCCTCTCCCCAGGTACTTGTGGTATCCCGGAGCTGGCCAGGGCACCCTCCAGTGGTCAATCCGGCTTGACTATTAGCCAGAATCCATTAGCATCTAATGGGAAAAGCCTCAGGAACACAGCCTCAATAAATGTTGACATATTTGAGGTCAATATAATCCTTAGGAAAATTTGCCCAGGTAATTAAAGCCAGACAAGGAGCTGCCTGTCCCAGAAATATTTACTAAGCTTTACCAAAGGCAGTAAAATCAAGACCGAGAGTTTTATAACCAGTCTACACAGGGCTCCCTTGCTATATCTAGTGCTGCACGCTGCTTCCTCCTGTCCTGCTCATCTGATGCCTCAGTACATATGCAGGAAGTCATCACAAGCCATCAGCCAACAGACAGCCCTTGTCCTGGGCAGGGACTCATGGAAAAAAGCAACCTGCTTGTGTGACAGGCAGGGATGGGAAGAGAGGGATGGCATGTACAGCCTCCTTGTTGGCAGGACCACAGCCCTGGGCTGGCAGGGGCTGAGCAGCAGCAGAGCATGGCACATTCCCCCTGTGGCAAATGGTGTACCAGAGCAGTGGCTTTTCCATGCTGCTGTGGCTTTGCACACCTGGCACCCCAGGGGTCCCGGCTCCCATGTGAGAGGGGGTGCATGGGTGCCGCAGGGGGAAGCAAAGGGGAAGGGGTGAGCTCTGTCGTGAGGTTCATCTCCAGTGTGGAGCCCAGCTGCCCAGAGGCTAAGGCTGTGCTGTCCAACCTCCAGGCCTGAGCTCAGTCTCTGGGCACTCATGCTCCTCAAAGCGAGGCTGACCAAAGTGCAGCATTTGCTGTTTTGTTTTGTCTTCTTTCCTCTTTGAAGCCTGTGCTGTGAGACTGACACTGTGCCGTGGGACTGACAGACACTGTGCTGTGAGACTGACACTGTGCTGTGGGACTGACACTGTGCTGTGGGACTGACACTGTGACTGACACTGTGCTGTGGGACTGACACTGTGCTGTGAGACTGACACTGTGCTGTGGGACTGACACTGTGCTGTGACACTGACACTGTGCTGTGACACTGACACTGTGCTGTGGCACTGACACTGTGCTGTGACACTGACACTGTGCTGTGGGACTGACACTGTGCTGTGACACTGACACCGGGGGGTGGGACTGACACTGTGCTGTGACACTGACACTGTGCTGTGACACTGACACTGTGCTGTACCAGCTGCAGCTATTTTTTCACAAAGGAAGTGTTTTTCTGCCTGGGAAAGGAGGCTGAAAAGCGGATCTGAAGGCAGTGAAGAAACAGAACTATGTCGTAATTTCTGAAGGTTTGGTGTTGTCACCAAAGACTCTTCTGTCTCTGCCAAAAGGCTGACCTCCTCCCTGGTCTCCTTTTCTCTCCCTGTTGTGTCCGCTCTCACCCTCCGGGTCCTGTTGGAGCTGGGCTGCAGGGACAGCAGCTCCAGAGGCCTTTTCCTTCCCCTGCCTTTGCAGAGAAAGACGCCTCCAAACCACCAACAGCAGCCAGGTACCTTCCAACCACACCACAGCGTTACCAGCTCTTCCCAGTTCCAACCCTGCGACAGAGATGTTGGTTCAGCTCCTTGTGCCTGGCTTTGCCCCTGCCCAGTGCCCAACCCTGGGCGCAGCCATGGCGAGAGAGCCATGTCCCCGCAGCAGGGCCGGTGCCCAGGGCGCTGCTGCATCCTCCATCCTCCACCCCGCATCCCGGGCAGCACCCCCGGGGATGCGGCC